CATGATACGATTACTCGAGATTAGTATGCGATTTAGGTGACCTGAGGATCAGATCCGGACAAGTACTAGGTATCAATGGTTATCGGTAAAGTAAGATCATTGGAGGAATAAATACGACTTCTTTTTGCCTAGCCATTGCGGCTAGGCCATTCATTTGTGTATATATAGAGTAGCTATCCCCATCTACAGGTGCTCTTCACCTGTAGATTCTAAGTTAAATACAATTGCTGGTCTATAAACACCCTTTTGGTCACAGTTTTATTTTATTTAATTATCTTAAATGATTGAATAAAATAATATTATATATGAATTATTAAATCTTATTATGATATTTAAATGTTTCAAGTAATAAATTATACTAAAATATTTTATATCTTGGATACTGAACAAGGGGTTTGATGAGTGTCGGAACACGCTTGCCTTTGATAAAAGATCCTTTCATTTCTCTTGTATGATATCCAGTAGTCTCGCAGTCCTTCGTCCGGATAGTGAGCCGAACGGCTAGTCTGTAATTTGATTAGATTAATCAGATAATTAAAACACATTTTATATAAAAAAAAATTAATTTGATTAATCTAAATTCCGAAAGTCAAGATTAGTATCTGGACATTTATATTGGACAGGATATATTATATAATATTATGTTAAAGTGAATGGTTCCTGCGTAGCACGTGCACAGGGCACTAGTCCTATTAGGACTAGATTGAGAAGCTCTCTGTAAGAGAGCTTCGCACTTCCGTAGAACTTAGAAGAGAGATTAACCTACTAGACCAATATTACCTCAGTTCTGCCCTATCAGCTTCCCACTATTCCCTGTGTGAGGTCATTCCTTTTAACATATTAAAACATTTAATTGTTAAGCCAAATTGAAAAATTAATAATAAAACATAATCTAGTTTATTATTAATCTAGACGAGCTAGAACACAAAATGATTAATTTAACTTTTGAATATCATTGAATAATTAGTTTATATGTTTTAAAAGTTAAAAACTTTATCAAATATAATAAAAACCTAATATATCCAACCGTCCGGACTACTGGACATCTTGTTCTCCCGGTTCGTTTTAGCACCAGCGACAGCACCAATAATAGGTAAATATCTTTTTCAGTAAAATCGATACATTTCATAGTTGACACTGAATGATATATTTTATTGTTGGTATTAGACGAGGAGTGCAGAAGATTTACTTAGGGATTTTCTTGTTTCATAGAGACCAGATTCATTCAATGGTTTTTATTATGCGTGTAGAGAGTGTTGATTATTTTGTATACATCATATTATTTCTATGGGATTCGAAATCAGTCATTTTATAGCTGTAGCATATTCAGATCAGCGAGCCCTGAAATGCTGTTCCTTTGGAGGTTGAGTATGCGATCTAAAGGGTAAAGATTTGTTCCTGGTATAGTTTCAGTGGTTTAGTTGAATGACTCTGATGCTGCATTGGAGTCAAGTAAAGATTTGAAAGGTTTTCGGTTCTTTAGACCTTAATGCTAAAGTTTTATTTTTTCATCGTTTTGTATACGGTTTGTTACTGTAGGTTGCTATTAGAGTGTCCTGCACTTTGTGTGTTTTTGAGGATGATTAGAATAAGAATGAGAAAGATCGCTAACGATATACTATGTCTGCGGAAATGTGTTCTAGTATTGAATTTCATGTCCGCGAAGCAGTATATCGAGTGTTATGGGCCGAGATCGTTGTCCTATATCATATAAGTGTTTGATAGAGACCTATTTCATGAACAATACTCTGTGTACTCTATGTACTTTCAATCTAGATTATTTAGATATCTATCATATATACATTGGTACTCGAGTACATTTTCCTATCAACCACAGAATGGAATTGTCCATGCTTGTACAAGAATCGTCTACGAAATATATAGTTTATCATTTATACTCATACGAGCTTTGACTCCGGCCCTTTCGGGTCTAAAAATAACAATGGATTCGCTAAAAACTCACCGTAGTTATTTTTCACACCTCTTAGGATCTACGACCAATTTGTATTGTACAGCCTATCAAATACTTATAATTTAAAATCTTTTCAATTCAATAATTATAAATTTTGAAGCTATTCAGAGTTTCTTTTTTTTTGAAAGAATAATTTATACACTACATTCTATATTAAAATGTAGAGTATATTTTATATAGTTTCTATAATCTCTGAATATAGATTTAAATATAATTTTTAAATATAAATTGTGACCAAAAGGGTGCTTATAGACCAGCAATTGTATTTAACTTAGAATCTACAGGTGAAGTGTGACGCCTCACACCTCCGGGTCACGTGGCATGCCCCGTTTGTATTTAATCACAGGAAAACTCTCTACTCTTGTTTTCCTTCTTCTTTTCTCCTTAGCTTAGTATTGTTACGAGGTTTGCCGTCTAGATCACGTGGAAGTGCTCTAGGCTCTCGAGGTGGTTTATAACTAGGCGTCAAGCAGGGACTTAAAGTAATGACAATAATGCAATTCGTAACTAATAGTAGAGTATACTAAATGATTGATCTTGAGCACGAAGCTCTATACAAAGGAAATCCATCTTGATTATATAGACCATCGTGGCATGCGTCCCAGTGCTCCCAGTTGTCCCAGTTGTACTGGGACAGCTGAGCCTACTGGGATCCTCATATCACATGATGCTAATCACGTGATGTTAGGTATGTGAGATCCGTCGTAACAAGTATTTTCTAATACAAGATACTTTACCCAGTATTCTTGAGTGTGACATGAAGAGCACCTGTAGATGAGGATAGCTACTCTATATACACACAAATGAATGGCCTAGCCGCAATGGCTAGGCAAAAAGAAGTCATATTTATCCCTCCAATGATCTCACTTTACCGATAACCATTGATACCTAGTACTTGTCCGGATCTGATCCTCAGGTCACCTAAATCGTATACTAATCCCGAGTAATCGTATCATGTGTGGACATGGTTAATGTACCTGAGGTTTCTTATATAATAAGGGTGGGAGGAAAGCAGGGGTTTCCGTCACATAAATCTAAATATAAATATAAATATAAATATAAATATAAATCTGAATATAAATTTGAATATAAATTTGAATATAAATTTGAATATAAATTTGAATATAAATTTGAATATAAATTTGAATATAAATGTTACGACCAATCCTAACAGCTACTCAGGTGACTAAGCTTATGGTCACATGACCCAATATTGTCCCACCTAGAATCACTCAACTACAGGCAGTAGGTGTCACGATTCACCATTAGGATTAGTGTCTTGGGATGAAAAGTAATCACGTGATAAGGAGCCTTAGGAGCCCTGAGGAGCCAGAAAGCTCCTAGGGGCTCCCTTTATCGTTCATTATATAGTCAGAGTAGTTTCATAGTTTAGGAGCTTCGTGCTCAACTTAGTTATCAATTAGTTTATCTACATTCTACTTGATCTAGTAACGAATTCACTTCCAAGTGAATACCAGTGATAAAGCCTTAACCCACAACTACCAACCAGACGAAACCTTAGGCAGCCGCTGCCTCCAGTACAGTATCGTTACAGTGGGACATAATGGGAGGCGATGGGATGTATAGTACGAAGGTCTATATAATCATGATGAATTTCCTTTGTATAGAGCTTCGTGCTCAAGATCAATCATTTAGTATACTCTACTATTAGTTACGAATTGCATCATTGTCATTACTTAAGTCCCTGCTTGACGCCTAGTTATAAACCACCTCGAGAGCCTAGAGCACTTCCACGTGATCTAGACGGCAAACCTCGTAACAATAAATATATTTGAAAAAAATAATTTACAGTTTTTATTTTATTAATCTTTATAATTTATTTTACATAAAATTCTATATAAATAAATTTTCAATTGGTAATAAACTGATAATTTCAAATTATTTTTCAAATAAATTTAAACACATCTTAAATAACCCAAAGCTCCTTAATTAGATACACAATTGCCCAACCAACGACGATGATATCCTCCCGAACAATCCAATATCCAAAGCCCTTTCCTATAATTGAAAACCCCCCTCCAACTTATATAAACATTCTCGAGTACGGAATTATCCTCCCTACAACTCCACTCAATGCCTTTTCAATCCTCTCCGCCCCTTATAATTGTAGATCGGAAAACTACGATAAGAGAATCGGTATGATTTCTTCATAATAATCAAATCATCATTGTAAAAACTCCCATTAACTTTACAGACTTTATATACTATAGATTCGTAGCCGGCACCACATACAGGTGGAAGTTCGACTTTTTGCTGGCCCCATCCTAGAGTGTATAAATAGTGAGGTATATAGAGACTAGTGGCGGAAAAGAGCGGACTTTTCCACGGATTTTAACCACGTGATAGAGTAAAGTAGATTGTTCTCGTCCCTGCTTTTTTTCTACTCAGGACTTACTAAGAGAGGAGTACCGTAATTGTAATTGACCGTAGGAAGGTAAAATTCTCTGAAGAATACAAGACAATAATAAACAAACCTTCCTGTCGATACCTACCTACCACATCAATTTGTTATTATTTCACTATTCACTTCTTAATGTTTTACATTACCTATTATCCTTATTTAAATCATATCTGTTTGTTTGTTTGCCTGACTCCTCTTCTTCTTCTCTCACACCTTTGAAAGCTTAAACGGGAAATAGCGAACCGACATACCGATTCTTTTCAGAATTCCAAATTAAACTTCCGTCCATACCTGAGTTCTCGACCTCTAAGCCATCACCAGAAGGTTCAAACCACAAACAAACAATACCACTCCTTACCCCATACCATACAAACCACATCTATCGAAAGACACGACGACCAGTTCAATTCAATCCGATACTGTACCAATCAATTTCTAATTGTAATCAACGACCAGAGGCTTGTTGGTATGTATGTTTTGATCTATTTACCTTCGACTCTTCTGCTTCTCCTTATCCTGTCGCAACACAAGCTGAACTAATTTCCCACTCCAGCTCTCTTTCAACCACCACATCGACCACCATCAACCACATCTACACCCATAAACATGCCTCAAGGTTACTCATCTCGCGACGTGGGCGACCCATCGCAAATCAAGAAGAATAAACAATCTATGGCAGATCTCAAATTAAGACGCCTTACTGAATTGAACAATCGTCTACGAGAAGATTTGGAACGCGAAAGGATCCCGGTTTCTCAAGCTGCCAAGAGGTAACCCACTCCTCTCCTCGACATTCAAATGAATATCAATCACTAATGCGCGATACTCATTTAGTATCATCCAATACACCAGTCAGACAAAAGATTTTATGGTTCCGTCAATTTGGGGTACCGTCGATAAGAAGGATGATCCATATGCGCCGCAGCAAAGTGGTGGATGTTGTTTGGTGATGTAGGAAAAGGACAGAAACATCAAGATAAATCGAAATGGAAAGCATACGAACGACCGACAACGACCACTCATAATTTCATCAATCACTCAATTCATAAATCCATCCACTTACACCAATTTCGATACCGATCCTTACAAAATCACGTACATCACCACCGAGGACAGAGGGAGGTAGCAGACCAGAGTAAAGGGCGTTATTACGGGGCGTATTGGGAAACATTCACTTTTAGCCTTCTTCGACATTATTTCCATAAAGCCAAATGTCTCTTCTTGGACCTTTCCCTTACAGGCCTGTTTTTTACCGGAAGCAAAGAGAAGCATTAGCATATTTCACCAATTGGAGGTATATTTTCACTATCAACGGGGCACGGCAGCGAGCGGGTTCTTTCGATTCGATTGTACCTGCGATCGGGTATCTGCGTGCGATGTTCGAGACTTTCTTGATGAAATGAACGGCAGGATAAAGTCAAAAGGAAGATGAGAGAGGAGAACGGGAAAAGGGAAAAGGAAGCATGTAATAATTTTTTTTCGTTTCTGTTCGTAGTAGTTACACCTTTTTCCCTCAACCCTTCACACATAGGTGTGCCCTTCACATGAACTTCTTTGTGCATAGGATTATTCAATGGAGATCATTGGGAGGGTATATTTTTTTACGAGGAAATTCTTTTTTAATGCATTTGTGATATTGTATCTACCTATCTATCTATCTAATGATTTATGAGTGAGGTTTACTGGGTGCGAATTTGAATATGAAAGAATATATACTACCTACCTAGGTATTGAGTGATTGACACTATGTGTTGTTGTATTTGAATAAACCTACTACATTGGGATTAAGATTAGGATAAATCAAAGAAATTTAAATACAGTAGGATTATAAGTGGATGGTGTAATTTCTGAGCAATTTATTTGGGGTGGTTCATTTACTATGTAGGACTAGGTAGGTATGTAGTAGATAGGTAGGTACTTGATAGGAAAGTACTTGGTGGGTTAATCTTTACTTTTTATTTTTTTATTTTTTTTATTCGGGGGGTATTGTTAGGTGACTCCGTATTGCTGTGTGAGTATTGTGTAGGAGGGAATGAATGGACGGAGGACGGAGGAAAGGGGGAGGAAGTGAGGGAGGTGTGGATGGAAGGTGTGGATGGAAGGTGTGGATGGGAGGTGTGGATGGGACTTGAGCAGCTGTTAGATGTTGGTTGATGTTGATATTGATATATTTGATTTTTACGTGGAAATCTATCGAGGTGAGTACAGTAGTACGGTACCTCCAGATTTGATTTCCTTGTATGGAGGGAGTACTTTATGGTGTATATAAAGGTAGAAAGGTAGGAGGATATATATGTATATATATTTTTACTATATCTTCAGTATTTGTTAGTATAAAATTATCTATTTACGAGTACTTAGTAAGTAGGTAAGTCTTTGATTTGAAAGATCTTTGACATTATTGTTGATATCTTCTTTTTTCTTATTAATATAATATTAATCGAGAGAGGAGGAGAGGGAGAGGGAGAGGGAGGGGGGAGCCCGAGGCTTCTTTAAGTTGGTATATATACTACCGAGTATGCTCTCCTTATACACGGTATATCTCTCTACCTAGATACAGCGTATAATAAAAAGATACCTACGGAGTACAGAAACTCACAAAAACAGATCTTATCAATCTTATTAATCCCAATCCACATCCACATCCCCATCCTAATTTAATCTTATTATTTTATTCCCAATCCAATCTTGTAATTTCCAATTTTATTCAAATCTCCCTAATCCCTAATCCCGAATTTATCCATCCATCCATCCCACTTCTCACTCCCACTTCCCACTTTCTCATTCTCTTACGCTCTTACGCTCTTACTTGAAGTAACTTCCGAGCCAAGTCACCGTACGCCGTATAGACTCTAGAGTAGGTATCCAGTGACCCGTCACGCCAATTTTTGACCCGAGCCATCTCACTGTCCACTCACTGTCCAGTCCAATTCCAGTAGCAGTTGAAGTCCGGTCCAGCATACGGAGTAAGTGGTAATAGGTCTTACTACCTACTTGACGCAAGTACCAGGAATCAGTCAATCCCTTAATCGCATCAATCGCCAACTAACTCAATTACTCATCAAATCAATTTCAAATCTCGGAATTTTCCGCACTGATCATTTACTGCTCTCTCCGTATATTGTTAATTCTGTTTTATCTAACTGGTGAACCACCCCATCCATCCTATCTTCGCCGAACTAGACGAGAAAGAGGGAAAAGCGCATCTGCCGAAAGGATTCAAGACAACGACGGATAGGAACGATACGATAGGATTATTCGAGCATAAATGCGTGAAGTGAATAAATTGGACGAAATGAATAAAATGGATGAAATGGATAAAATACCAATGCTATCTCAAAATGATGTGGACGCGCAGGAAATTAAACTTCCTCGTGTGATTATTACTTTTTGTACGCAGTGTCGGTGGTTGCTTAGGGCTGCTTATGTATGTATATTTTTTTCTTGTTTAGATGGTTTTGTGTGTTTTTATTTTATTTGGGGTTTGTTTTGTTATTTTCTGGTTCGTGGATGTTTTATGTTTTCTGTCTTTTGCTATGGAGAGGTTTATATAGATGAGGCTGTATAAGACCGGTGTTGGTAGTGTGGTTGGATTTATGCAAGTGCTGTTTTATGGCTACTAGGTGGTTTGATGTTTGGAGGTGGAAAGAGGGGATATGGATGATGGGTATGGATGAGGGAAGAAACTTGGAATTGGAGAATAGAAGGATTTCGAGGGATTTTGAGGGGGGGTGGTTTTATGTGGGAGTTATGTTTGGAAGGAAAAAGAGGCGATTATGCTTGGAAAATTTGAATATGAGGTGAAATGGGTTGATGAGAGTGAGCGGGGGAGGAATAGAAATCTTGCAAGTTGCTTGATTTCAATGATTACTTGGATTTTCGGTTTCGGTGGATGAATGGGATATAGACTAGATGGTATGGATGAATTGAGGTAGATGGAATGGGATTGGTAGTTTCCTCCCTCTGTAGTTTCAGAGTTCCACTGCTCACCGATACCATATTCGCCGATACTGCTCAGTTCGGCGATATATTCCGCTCATGGATAGTCATCATGATATGATTTATCTATATCGTCGAGGAGAGAGAATAGCCGATTAGATTACCTCTTTTCTCTGTTTGTTAACCGACGATTATCTCTTCCTCATTACAGCCTCGGGGATATAGATATGAATGATACTCATTTTTTCTAGGATAAGTACCTAGAGAGTAAGGAGATGTCAAGGCCTTGCATTTTAAAGTGATGTAATGGGTGTAGACTATGAAAGATTGAAGTCTTCTTCCTATCGCTTATATGGTTATTTGTTGTTTTAATCCTGGGTTTTAGGCTTCAACATTTTCTTGATTTGGTTGTCAAGTGTTGACGCTTAACTTCCACGCCCGTCATTTCTATATGCCATCTTCCTCCCTCCTCCCATCATCCTCCATATATCACTAATTTCAAATTCCGCACCGTTATTTCTCATCACTCACCTCCACTCTTATTTTCCAAAACCACAATCTCAACCCCAAAGACCACTCATCCAAGGAATCACCCTACTAACAACCCTAAACAGTTTGCCCAAGAACTTCTTTCAACCTTCGGAAATGACATTGGAGAAGTAGCTCTTCAACCTAGTACTGGTGGTGTGTTTATTGTTGAATTATTTACAAATGCGAATGCTACTAGTAATACGGGAGGAGAAGCTGAAAAGAATGAGAAGGAAGGAGAGAAAGAGGTGAAGATATTGAAACATACACTTTGGAATCGGAAGAGTGAGGGTGGATTTCCTGGTATGTGTCTCTTTCTTCTATCTCTCTTTCTCTGGTTGGAATATCTCAAATGGAGCGATTGGAACTCCAGTAGAAGAATGAATAGCTTTTAGACGGGATTATGAGTCGACACGTTGGAAGGGAATATATGAGGAAGTGAATGAATTGCTAATCGTGATAAAAACCAGAAACCAAGGAATTAAAAAGGAGACTTAGAAATATTATTGATCCATCAAGGGATTTAGGCCATGTTGATGGAAAGAAATGTAAGTCTTCTATTTTTACCCTCTTTCTTTTTATCTCATCACCCTCGCTTTCTTATCACAAGTGTTTAATCGAGACTAACACTCCTAACAGCAACCACAACGATGACTCCTAATTCATCCATTACTCCTCATGGTAGTAGCTCCACTTTCACCGGAGAATCAACTGAGGAGAAGGGGAAAGAAGAAAAGGCAAAGGAAACAGAAACAAAGACAGAGACGAAGGAAAAAGCGAATATAGGAGAAGAGAAACTAGATGAGGAAAAGCAGGAAGGAGAGGAATTGAGTGAGGAGAAAGTAAATGAAAGGGGTAAAATTGTCATTGCTGGTTTAGAAGGAGAAGGTGGGTTTGGTTTTTGTGTGCCGGGTGAAGATTGTGGTGGGTTTTAGGTTTTTGAGATAAAAGGGAAGGATGAGAGGAAGAGAGAAAGGATGGGATGAGAAGTCGGGTGGGATTTTGAGGGTTATGTTTATTTATAATTATAGTATGCTTATATACTTATCTCACCCTTCAGACTTCTATAGGTCTAAAGTCAATCTTACAAAGAATATACTCCATGCCCCCTTCAAAACCTCTTTCAACTCTCTTTTAGCTTTGTAAAATCTTTAAACTTTAGAATTAAATATTCAAAGTATATGATCCTGTATAAATATACTTCTGAATTTCTTATCAAAAATTAAATATAATTATTCAATAATACGATTTTGTTTATCTACTCATCCACCTGTCCACTCATATTTTAAACATTTAAAAATTCAAAGATATATAATACTTTTTTTATTCCTTTTTTAAAAATCTTAGAAATTATCTATTTAGTGTTACGACGGGCTACACAACTACCAAGGCACGTGATCACAAATGATCAGTAGTGATCATTAAGGATCACTAAGGATCACGATATAGGTGATCACTGGTGATCATGAAGGATCACCAGTAATCATAGAAGCATGAAGGACTATATAATCAAGATGGATTTCCTTTGTATAGAGCTTCGTGCTCAAGATCAATCATTTAGTATACTCTACTATTAGTTACGAATTGCATTATTGTCGTTACTTTAAGTCCCTGCTTGACGCCTAGTTATAAACCACCTCGAGAGCCTGGAGCACTTCCACGTGATCTAGACGGCAAACCTCGTAACATTTAGATATCTCTATATTGTTTCTATCTATACAGTACTATTTTCATCTACTATTTTCACCTACTATATTCACCCAGTGTTTCAAAATCTCCCACCCTATTCTTTCCTTGAATTAGAAATAGAAAGGATGATTTCAATTTGAAGGATAGACAGGATGAGGATGTTTACAAAATCGACAGAATATAGGGCCTCCATCCTGGGCTTTGAGTAGGATGGGAGAGGGTGGGGATGGGAGATTTGAAACGCTGTGTTCACCATACCATCCATTTATCACTTAAATTGTAAATCCCAAACTTCCTTCCTACTCAAGTCTATACCTATACATAATCTTATACATATACTCTCAACCTCAAATAAATATCTATATGTCTCCCTCATCGGTTTATATATACTAATTTACTTCGCAACGCATACTTCACATCACAACCCATCCATCCCATCCAACCCATCACGTCCCATCACGTCCCATCACGTCCCATCCATGCCACACATCCACATCCTATCAACCACCACAATCTCCCTACACTCTGCATATAAAAACGATTTCTCGCTGTTATCCTCATCCTCATAAATTACACCCTTACCTTCCCTTCTCTTATAACCTTATCCTATCTCATACCAATCAACAAAATCATAAAAACCACAATAAAAACAACATACAACACAACTCATAATCCAATATAGCCTAATATACACAACACAAGCCATACAATAAACCCAAACCCAATCCAAATAAAAACCCAAATTTCCAAAAAGTTCCCCGCATCCATCCATCAAATCAATTAAAATCAAATCAAGTGGCGTCTCTTCATCTCCATACCCATCTCCATACCCGCATCCATCTAAATCACATCTCCATCTACGTCACATTCCTCGCTTAACCTTAACCTTAAAAATCTCCAGCACCACCATCACTTCCTACATACCCAACCTACATGTATACAGTACACTACACACCCTTTATATTAATTTTAAGTTTACATCTTCTCAAAGAAAAAGTTAGTACAAATCTAATCTAATCTAATCTAATCTAATCGTAATTTCTATCCGCATTCATTCATTCATCCATCCATCTATCTATAAATCTTCGCTACCATTTCCATTCCATTCCTCCCCGCCAACCCCTTCCCTTTCTTCCGAAACCAGAAAACTAGAAAATCAGAAAAATACAGATCCTTCCTTCCACTCTTATATCATTCTCATAATCATTCTCATAATCATTCTCATAATCATTCTCATAATCATTCTCATAATCATTATTATCATATCGCGTAAACGAAACGAAACGAATTCAAAAAAAAAATTTAATTTTTTTTTTTTATAAAAAAAACCTCCCGTTTCCGGCTTCCTTCCATCATTTATTCGTTCCTTTGTTCTCTTATTCTCTCCATCTTTTCCATTCTTTCACTCTTTTCATTCTCTGGTATAAGATGTTTGCGTTAACTTTAGCAGGGACTACCAACCGCTCGTAGTTATTGTTATTTGTTATTGTTATGGTTTTGGGTATGTTTATAGTTCTGGTTATGGATGTTAATGGTTGGTTGGTACAAATGTATAATATATAGATAAAGGGATGGAGCAGGTACGATGATTGAGATATGATACTCATATCATATTATGAGATGAAATATAATTCCTTTTCGAGGAACTTTGAAATTCTAAGACTGATTTCAATTGATTTGATTTGATTGAGAAGAGAAGATGCATAGCCAGAAATAAAGGAAAAAGAATTAACACTTTGTTTCTCATTCTATTCTACTTCTCATATTCTCCTCCTCCTTCTACCTAATAATGCCTTTCCCCAAGAAACTCATCCCAATTACTTCAATCCTAACAGCTACATTTCTCTTCCTACTTTTCAAACCCTTATTTCTCCACACCCAATGGATACCCACTAAACCCAGCGAAATCGAAACCAATCCAAGACATAAAGAAATAAAAACATACAGTAACAAATGGCGAACCGCGCACGAAACGCAAAAACCTATATACTTCCACCCCGGTATCGTCAAGCCATATCCTGCACAATATTCCAAAGCGCTCGTTATAGCCAGTACCACGAGCGAAGATGTGGATTGGATTCGGGAGAATTTCGAAAACGATACTTCGATTCAATACACTATATATACAGCCGATGATCCTTCCGCCGAATATCATCCTCCGAAAAATAAGGGACATGAAGTTATGATATATCTATCGTATATCATTGAGAATTATAATCATCTTTCGGATGTGAGCATATTTATGCATTCTCATCAGACGACATGGCATAATAATGAACTTCTGGATTTGGATTCTGCTCAGATGATTTCGAGATTATCTTCCGAACGGGTTATTCGAGAAGGTTATATGAATTTAAGATGTCATTGGCATCCAGGATGTCCAGATTGGATGCATCCAGGAATAGTGGAGGAGGATGATAATAAACAAGAACAAACGATTATGGCAAGAGCATGGGTGGAACTTTTCCCACTTGAGCCAGTTCCAAATGTACTTGCACAACCTTGTTGTGCACAATTTGCCGTTTCGAAAGAAAGAATTCGAACTTTGCCACTGGCAAGATATATATTCTATCGAGATTGGTTGTTGAGAACAGACTTATCAGATTTCATAAGTGGTAGAGTGTGGGAATATATTTGGCAATTTGTTTTTTCTGGACAAACGATATTGTGTCCAAAAGAGCATATTTGTTATTGTGATGGATATGGTATTTGCTTTGGAGGAGAGATGGAATATCAGGCTTATTTGGATAAGCAAAGTGAAAAGGAAAATTTGAAGATTGAAATAGAGGAATGGGATATACGAAATGAAGAGATGCAGAATTTGATAGATGAAGGAAGGGAAGAAGAAATTGCGACTTTGGAAAAACCTGATCCGATGATAAAGGAAAAGTTAGAGAAGGAGATTGATGAAATTCAACGTTGGCTCGAAGTAAGTAAAGAAGAAGCAATGCAACGTGGCGATGTTGCTCCTAATCGAGCTAAAGAAGCTGGTAGAGAATGGAAAGATGGAGATGGATTTTAATGGTAGATGTGGATTCATCAGTGTGATTGCCTTACCTTTTCAAGGTTCATCTGTCATATCGAGTAGATATGTTAAGCTTGAGATGACCTCGCTTTGATATCATGGCATTTGGGTATGAAATTTCTCGAAAAGAGTCACTTCAAATCAACACCAATCATCGCAGAATATGAGTTAACAAGGGAAGCCCTAATTTAAGTGGGACGGATCGACGACTTAGAACTCTGACATTATCGAATCGATCGAAGGAAGGTTGCTGCCGTAACCTTACACGAATTGTTAGTGTTCCGGATCTTGGCCCGCAAAACTCTCTTTGCGATCTCTCATTCAGGTTACTCAATTAACCCTCATGTCCCTGAATGATCCGCACATTGTCATGGGAGCGAAGACCACATGCACATGGCACATGTTCATCACGTGTAGGGCTCAGGGTTTTGACAGCCGTTGTCATACTTCCTGATGGTCCTTGTACAGGAAAAAGCATTTCAAGCGTGGATGTGGATGTGGAGTATGGAGAATGGAGATCTTTTTATTGAAATAATGGCGAAGAACTGGAGCTGCGGGTTGAGATGATTTGGAATTTGAGGGAGCCGGAGGTCGGATGAATGTAGGTGATGATAGCGGATGAAATTCTTGATATGGATTAATGCAGTCAGTGTAGTGTAATGTAGTATAATATGGATGATTCTTCTCATCCATCAATACTTTATCAATAATGGATATTGATACTGGTAATTTCGGTATTGATGATGCATTCTTAAAGAGAAAGACTCTATTATTACAGTCCTCGAACAGATTGAAGTAATCATCTGTGAGTACAGGGTAATACAGAGATGAGGTTGTTTGTATCCGTGAATACTAGGTATCTATCGATGTTCATACCGGTACCCAAAAGTCATCATACCATCGAATAGGTAACCTTAGTGTAAAGAGTCAAGACTACAAATATGAATAGGTATCTCGGAGATGAATTCAAACTCTAATAGATGATGCCCGATATATAAAAACGAAAAAGGACAAATGTTGAAGTTATTCCAAATTTCCATATTCAAGGATTGCAAGGACCAGATTCAAATGATCCAATAGGATAGAGATATACTGATATGAGTAAGATTACATACATCCCACAATGGTCAACCTATCACCATTTAAGGTTACCAGTACCCATAAATAACCATTTGAGAATTTGGGACTTTGACTCGTTTTTATTCTCCGCTGGCTCCAACTCTTAGTTAGATAGGTACCCTTTTCATTTCGATTCCAATGCCGATTCTTCATATATTTTCACGATTGCCGTGCTGTAATCATGCTGGATTGAAATCGAGCAACTCCTTTCTGACTTGTACCGAGTTCGAAGCCCGAGAACAAAATGGAGTCAGTGGGTCGGTCACTTGCTTCGGTTAAGGAACTGAGATCTGATAGATCAGGTACCCGAGCTTCAGGACAAGACAAGACCGTTGTATCGGTTTCTTGTCTTAGTATCTGTGTGCTACATACTAGTGTTACATTCATTGAAACGTTTACTAGTAACCAGTAACGGTGTATCGCTTCAGCTGTGATGGATATATGAGAGGGCTTGGAAGACAAAAAAAGTGAGAAAATGGTGCAATTGGTTGGATTGGTTGGAGTATTACTTGTGAGAGTTGGTAAGTGGTAGGTGGTAGTAGGGCATAGAAGGTGATGTGGGTGATAATATGTACATGAAATGACCTGGCTATGTAGGATAGATGGTGTCGATGAGGGGAGAGTTTATGAGATCTTTCTTTTGTGCAAGATACTTTTGCTACAGCTTTCCCTTTCCTATACATTATATTCTTCAGTGTTCTCTCATAAAATACTAGGTAAGTACTCAATTATACTCTTTCTCCTTCAAATATTGCAGCGTCCAAACTCCAGTTGTCCTCTCGTGAAATACCCTCTTTCTTTTCTTTTTCTTTTTTCCTTCAAAAGAGTGGATGAACAGGGAATTTGTTTCTTACATCTAGACTTTTCACGTCATTGATTTCATTGGGATACGCCTCCAACGTACTTCAATAGTCAAATCACCAAATGATTAGTCTGAGCACCGTCTAGTTCCTACTTAGTTTGGCCGGCCGGAATCACGTTTTCCCTCGGATCCTTAAAGTATACTCGAGTACCGAATGCCTAGTACCTACCTAGTCCTGTACCTAGCATGCTCTCTCCATCATAACTGGTAAACTGGTAATGAAATTGATCAAATGAGGAAATAGATGTGCCAAATCTCTTCTTGGCAGCTTCTCTTTTTTTCCTCTCGTAAGTCCACCCACACCCAGTGTTGAGTCTCCAGTCTCAAATTCTCAACTAGTGATCCCAGGTTCAAACTCAAAAATTCAAAATTGACCAACTGGGATTAAACCTCTTCTGATTTTTCCCCTTTCCACTTTTTAAACTACATCGCCACATGGATCATGTCAAATTCCTTCTTTTGATTCGTCCAAGATCCTAGACCTTCACGTTCTCCCTCCAATTTCTCAAGGAATCGTCATGTCGAAGAGATCAACAAGCATTGGAGATCAATCACAACCCCTCCAAAGACAAGGACGTGCATATACTTCCGGTGTTCGTGTTCGCCCTGGTCCCAGTGCTGCTGTTGGTCCTATTATTGGTGGAAGTGGAAGTGGAAATGGAATTGGAATTGGTATCGGGAGTGCCCCTCAAATAAAGCCTCCCCCTATCTTCTCTTTGGTATGTCATAACTCAGCATTTACAATCCGTTCTTTTTGCTGCCCTTTCCATCTTGGATATCTTTTTTATTCTGCCATTGATATAACATATCTTTAAAATACTTAACATTGGAGAGGATCTTCTTTGCTAGTTGCAGAGATGTGGAAACATTTAAAGCAAAAGAGGAGGAATAGCCTTCAAGAAACATCTTATGTATGTTGATGATCATGATTTTGTTTTCTCCACCCTTAAAAAGCTTTAATTGCTCCTTTTCAACCTTGTCCTTTTCCTCACTATTGATTTTCATCGGGGAATTAACCCGGTCGAATGCTTGAGATTGCGGAGAAGAGAACTGCTTTAAGCATCAATGAATATGCCTCATATTATCTATGTCATAAAGCGCATGATATTCAATTGTTGATGTTTATTGAAAATTGAAAAAGATAGAATGAGATAATCTTTCTACAAGTAAACTGACATCACTCTTGCCACACTTAGTTTCCTCACCCTAATCAGTCGACATCTCCTACATCTACAGAGATGAATATTCAGAATCTGCCAGATCGTCGTGCGGCAATACATGCTTATGGAAAAGCTCCTACCTTTACACCCCCAATTAGAATAGAGGAAGCAAGTCCAGGAGAGGAAGACGGTGGTGCAGAAGTAAAGGATATACCATTCTACAAACCATATAGATCAGCGGGAGGACACCATCTAGCAGGACCATCTCAAGGGAATCGACCGAGGAGGCTTTCGTTGGACAGAGCATTTGATCCTAACAGTCAAAGAAAGGGAGCTGCATCACCCGCATCCGACAAATCAGCAAAAGTTTTACAAGCTCAAGTTGATATTCCTGAGCGGACAAGGTAAGCCTTGAACATAGTTATTTGCACCAACAAAATTAGCTAACGCATTCTAGTAGTAGTCTTTACAACGAAGAACACCGCGAGACTGGAGAGCATTCTCTAGATTTATTTGATATGCCGGAAAGAGAGGAGCGTGTGGAAATCAGAGATTCAAAGCCAAGTATACTATCTTCACAACTATCAATGTCTTCACCTTCAACGGCGCGCTCACGTTCTCGAGCTGGTTCCGTGTCTTCCTATCAAACAAATGCCACATCTCTCCCACCACTACAGAAAACAGGGGTGCTGGAGGATGGAGAGACTTTGGAGCCATTGAACGAGGAAGATGTTGATCCTGGATCTTTTGATCTCGTGTCAGCAACCGAGACTGGGGCCAAACGATTTTCTCTAGAAAAAAGATCAGAACAACTCTTTTCAACGGAGCATTTACGAATGATTTTTAGTGATCCTTCATTACTTTTAAGATTCACTTCTTTTCTAGGCGCGCAGAGACCTTCTTCCATTCCTATACTTATATATTATCTGGATGCTGTTAAAGCCCTCAAAGCTATTTCATACTCCAATGCTATTGCGGAAGCTCTAGAACCAATTCCAGGTTTCGATTTTACGGCTACTGCAGCCTCGAAGACAATGAGTGCTGCATTAGAAGAGAAGGCCTCAAAGGCGTTTGACGTTTTAGTTCGAGAAGATCTTCCTGCTTATATTACATGGGCATATATTCAGACTGTCAGCATATCGATCCAGAGACGAATTACTGGAACTTTACCGGCACACTTGAGAGAGGCTTCTGAAGGTTTGGCGGAGGTCTTTTGTTTAACCGATCCTTCTCGTCCGGATAATCCTATTGTTTTTGCTTCAGAGGGTATGTTTTGATTACCCAATATAAGATTTGTTCTAATCTGTTTTAGAATTTCACCGAACAACACAGTATGGTATGAGTTATGTTCTTGGTAGGAATTGTAGATTTTTACAAGGACCAAAAACAAATCCATTCAGTGTGAGGAGGATTCGAGAGAAGATTGAGGCTGGTCAAGAACATTATGAGACTTTTCTTAATTAGTAAGTCTTACCTTGATCTATTTGGAGACAATAGCTAATAAAACAAAAGTCGACGTGATGGATCACCTTTCATGAATCTTCTAATGTGTGCTCCACTATGTGATAGCAGAGGAACAATTCGATATTTCATTGGTGCACAAGTCGATATTTCGGGTTTGGTTAAAGAATGCGCCGAATTAGAATCCCTTCAACGTCTTGTTGCAGTAGAAGAACTTGCCGAGGAGCGTGAAGCAGAACGAGCCGCAAATCCTAATGCAGAACACGAGGAGCTTCCACCGCCACCTCCAAAAGACGAATTCCAAGAATTGAGCGAAATGTTAAATATGCAAGAGTTAGACACAGTACGAAAATGGGGAGGAAGAATGCATAAAGAAACTGAAGAGGATCATCCTGACAGCAATTTCCAGAGAGGAAATTGGCATAAGCCGAGATTACACATCACTAGTACAAGCCCTGATGGTTTGAAGCCAAATCCACACCTAGGACGCATCAGTGGAAAACTTGGTGGTATATATGAGAACTATCTTCTCGTTCGTCCATATCCAAACTTGAGGGTTCTATTCGCGAGTCCAACCCTCAGAGTACCTGGTATTTTACAATCACCTTTTATGGCAAAAATAGGAGGCAGCAGTCGTGTCCGTGAGGAATTAACTCAAGCTTTTGCTGATGGTCGAGGTGTTACCGCTAAAGTCCGTTGGGTCACAAAAGATGATTTGGAAGGTCGACCACGTTGGATTCATTGCACGCCACTCATTGGTTCTAATGGAGCAATTGGTGTATGGATGATTGTTATTGTTGATGATGAGGCTTCACAGCATACCAGCAAGAGATATAGATTAGCCCCAGCGGTTGACCCAAGATATGGAAGATCAATACCGTTCGCTGGAAAGGCGGATAGTAGTTCGGGAAGTATTAGGGATTTCTCGCCTATGAATCATCATGGACAAAATGATGGTAGAGGAGGAGGACAAGCACCACGCACACCTAGATCACTGAGGAGTGTTGATAATGTTGAAGGTGGTAGTGTGAGAAGTGGAAGTCCGTATACTTTGAGGATTGATTAATTGATTTATCCAAGAAGATAAAACGGATGGTCTTTGGCATTCTTGCTTATGTTATTGTTTTCGGCTGTCATGGATGGTTTCAAATGTTGCTATGCTGATACTACATGGACAGCTCATGCTAATGGATAAAATGGGAGGTGGTTTTCTGACCTTGAATCAGTTGCGTTTTAGCGTTGACTTTTCTATACGTTTGGTTTTCTGCATGGAAATTCTTCTTCGTCATGCATATTGTATTAGCTACTGTTGTCCTTTTTATGTGGGTGGTATAAAAACGAGGGAATTATTGTCATGAGGTTAATAATGGAAGATGAGGATGGAGACGAACGGTGATGGGAGCCGAAACTTGAAAGTAGGACAAAAAGAGAATAATCAAGAAAGGTATCTTAGATATCACATTGCAACGCGAGAGGAGCTAGCAAATGGGCTCTCGCAAAAGAAGGATCGGATGATATTATTTGGGCATTGGGGATTGGGGATTTGGCATAGGGATGGGATGGTGGGTGGTGGTGCTTTTATTGCTTTGGCTATTGCTTTGGCTATGGTTATGGTTATATTTGCTTGGTTTGGCTTGGCTAGATTAAATTGCTGGATGGATGGATGTTGGGCTAGGGTTAATTAGGGCTAAGAGGGTTTTAATATATTTTAATTTATTAGATATTATTGATACATTGATACTTGTTTAATTATTTGTTTATTGATAGTGTTGTTATATTTATATATATATTAATAAATTTTCTCTTATAGTTTTCTAATAAAAATAAAAAATTACTTTGTGAGAGATTTAAGAGATTTGAGAGACCTAATACACTCAATAAATTATCATCTACCTACTCCCTCCTTCCAAGTTTATCTATCTACATGAAATACATATATGAAATACATACAAAAATATACATTAAAGCATACCACATCATACCATACCACACCATACAATCCATACCACATCATACCATATAATCCATACTATATCAAATCATTCCCGGAATGCTTTTTTTTTTTTTTTTTTCTTTTCAAGTTTATTTTTTAAAAAAAATTCAATGTATTCCTCTCGAAGGAACGCGGGCAGGGGGGGTATTTTACTCGCTTGCTTATATGCCATACACGTTTTTCAAATCCCTGAATCTTTAAAATCTTTGAATCTTTGAATTAAATCACCCACTAACCAACGAATTAACCAGCCAAGCGTCCGTCGCTCAGTCGCTCTCTATTCAATGAAGATGAAAAAAAAGAGGTTTTTCATCATGATGAAAATTTTGCAATTCCTGCTTTTTCCTTCATCCCGTTCTTCTCATCCGAATTATTCTCGTCTAGTCGTCCCGTCCCGTGCTATGCCGTGCTGTACCATGACATGCACTGACAAAACAATATCGATATCAATATCGAAATCGTGTAATACTAATACTCTTCACGGAAGAGCTCTTCACAGAAGAGAGAAATCGAAGTCAATCAAAAAGTCAGACGATAACCTTCCCTCCCACCCTGTCAAAAATTGACAATATGTCTAGGCCCATCCATTCCATCCATTCCATCTAAACACCCTCACCTAAATCCCTGATCACTCATCCCATTCCATTCCTCTCCCGTCCCGCGAGTATCACCTCCAACATTATCAAAAATCCCATCCAAATTCATCCCCGTATTATACACCAAATTCTGGGGATTAAACCCTGTATTTCCCGGTCTCACTCCAACTCCGGGTCCAGTTCCAGCTGTACCTGTCGCATTTGCATTTCCTCCCTGAATTAACCCACCCATGCGATTCCCTGAACCTCCTTGCCCCCCGCCCGATAGCTCAAATCCCTGTTGATTGTGTATCATATATGCCGGTATTGGTCCAAATATTTGTCCCTCTAAATCATCATACATTACAGTTCCTGTTCCCGCTCCACTTCCACTCATGTAAATTTGTTGTGCTCTAGGATCATCCAAATCATTTTCCTGCTTCAAGTGTTGCGCGTCGAATTCCATCATTGGTTGATTTGGATACGCAAAAGGATCAGAGGATGGAAACATCAATCCAGTGAGATATGGTATACTATTGTTAGCATTGAATTGATTTTGCATACCATATTGTGGGATGCTATGACTAGTCGACGATACGCTTTCAGGAGTACCAGCATTGGATAAATCGCTTGGTGATACGAGATCTTGAAAACCTTGTCGAAGGTTCGGATTAGAAGATGTGTTTATTTGAAAACGGTGGTTAAGGTTTTGCATTGGAAGACCGCTGGTGTGAAGAGAGGTGGTAGTTTGGGGAAATGTTGTGGCGCGAGGTATTGGAGTTATGTGGCTTGAACTTGGTCTTGGGATCTCCGGACTACTGCGATGCGTTTGATGTGCAGATGCAGGTGCTGATCTTTTTTTCTTTGATGGAATCGAAGTGGGTCGATTTTTTAACTTTTCGGGTAGTTGTTCAAAAAGTGGCTAATTTGCGTTAGAAAAATGATACATGGTAAGATGTCGCACTAACCTTGAGAGTTTCCGAACATCTATCAGCAGCCATACTTCTTTGAGCAAGGCCAATCAAAGCATCCTTTCCATCATTTGCATCTGCCAAAATCTCTGCAGCTCCACTCTTGTCGGGATTCTCAAGGACGTAGTACACTAGGGATATGACGGAGAAGAAGGTTGTGTACATGGTAAACCAATATGCTCCTCTCAAGAGAGATTGCTTCTTCATCTCTGCGGTAATATGAATGATATTACGAGCTACACTGACGCCAGCAGCTGCACATGCGTATGATCTTTCATCAACGGTCTTTCCTGCACAACTCTTTCCAGAAACATAATGAAGAAATGGTCGATATAACATCATTTGAACATGTGCGTAGGCTAACCGTAAAAGTTGTTGAACACTATACTATGGTTAGCAAACATCCATCACAAGTTCCGCCACTCGAATAGATCTTGCGTTCTATGTCGAAGTATAGAATACTTGGATCAAACATCTTACCGAATCAATTCGGGTGGACCTTCACCTCCAGGACGTAATCCCATGGGTAACCTATCTAGCCAGTCTGCTAAATCCTTTTCAATCTCCCTAATTTTTGAGTGACTGATGGTGTAAGATGCATTATTATTTCCTGAAATAGATTGCTCCAATCCTTTTATCGGATAGATATGTTTAATAACCTTTGGGGTAATGGCCATGAGTCGTGTGTGCGCATTTGAAGCCGCAAGCAACGACATTTTGCCAGGGGGCATGGGAAGTATCGCATCCTTGGTTATATACTCATCGTCTACCTCAACTGGCAAATCTTGGTCGATATCGTCGCCACTTAACATTATAGGAAATCCTAGGAGAGCAGAAACGTAGGTATCCAGCTTTCGTATTATCCAGAACACTCGTTTTCTGGTTTCCCGCTCGATAACATTGAAATTGCCACTCAGGCTACGATGTAAACCCAGGCGTAACGCAGATCTCAGAGCAAGACCTAGGTAAGAATAACATACGCTCAAGTTTGATGTTGCTTGTAGGAACAGGACCATGAATATGACTGTTTGCAGAGCCGTCATGTCGCGACAATCAGTCAAATCCATCATTTGCCGAGCAGCTTTGTAGAACTTGAATCTAATGAAAGGTTAGTCTTGTGATATCATGAAGTACAAGGTAGCACAGAATAAAGACGTATGCCCCACGGCGAAGTTCGAGTGAGACGAGGCTGTGGGGATACATGTCGCATCATCGCCCAAGACAACACTCACCCTTGATCCATACTACTTTTATACTTCTTCCCATCCGGGTCTGTGGAACTTGATGGCTCTGACGAGAACATGCAACCTAAGGCTAAAGTCATGTACAGCAATGGCAGAAATCTATGCTCTTGGTCACCAAAACTTTCAACTGGCAAATCGTATATCCTATTAAACATTTCATAAAAACTCGGTTCGTGAACAAAACGCAAGAGACAACAACCGCAATGCAACGAATCTTCACACAAAGCCATGGCGATTTCTCGAGGAGGAAGGTCAAATGTATTGGGAAGACCGGGATCAAAAGGGGACTCTGTAAACGACTTGGGAGAATCGAAGGAGGGTGGCATCTCCGCACGTGGTAGTTTAGGAAGTAGGTTGGGAGATCCGAGTAAACTGCCAAACTGTTCACGTAGGCGCTTCATAAAAACAGCACCGGAAGAGCCGCCATGAAAGTCCCAATGTCCACGTTCGTCCAGATCAAGTTGCCCAGTAGACTCTATCATTGATCGTAACTGCGCATCTTGTTCTGATAGATGTGGTTGTTGTGGAGTCGCACTTGGCATTGAGTTCGTGGTTAACGGTGTCATTGGCGCAACTTGTCGTTGCTGTAACAATGCTACAGCATCCATGTTTGGGTCGTTCAGATTTATGCTTGGCAGGTAAGTTTTTATAATGCTCTCTGCGCGTTGTAAGCGGAGCTCCAAAGATTCGAGATACTGCGGCGCGGGGTTCCTCCTCCTGTTTGACGGCTGGTCATATGTACAATCTGTTGCAAGCACATCGGTCAACGAGAGAAGTAAAAATACAAGATTACATGCAATATCGTACCATAACTATATACAGTGCAATGAGTGCAGGGTTGCTTTCCATCACATTTTATCTTCTTCCTCCTACACTCATCACAAGCTCTTGTAACTCGTCGTCTCTTTTGTATGGGCGCAGGACGTGGCTGTGATGGAGCCGCATGCCAATCTTCAGCAGTTTCGAGGTCGGGAGATGATTGACTTGGACTGAGTGGAGTTTCTTGACTTTGAATTGGTTGTGATTGTGACTCTGGTTGTGACTGTGACTGTGGTTGCGATTGTGATGCCGGTGATTGTTGATCGGGTGATGTTCCTGACATGATTGAAAATTAAAGGATGAAATCTGAAGAGATTTTCTTGAATTGCTCTCTTCTCAATCTGAATAAGGGAAAGATGATTCAATGGAAGAGTTCTCGTGTTTTGCTATGGTTAATAGAACTCCACCAATCTAGTATTTACTACCTAAGTAAGGTATTGGTAAGGGTGATGCTCGGGCATTTAACCCCTCTTATTATTCTTTATTGAGTAGTAATGTTGACCTTTGGAACCCCCTTCGGATATAAGGAAAAAAAATAAAAAAAAATAATGGGCTGAACCAGTAGAGTCAGTAAGAAAAGAGCAAGACGGCGTAGTAGAAATTGACAAGAGATTCCCTCTTGGCAGCGTAAAGAGTGCAGATATTGAGGTCTTGGAGGGAATAAGTGCGTATGTACGAAAGGAATACAAGTGCGAGTTTACGGTCTTGGATGGTCTTGACTCTTGAGTGCCTCGAACCAGACTCTACTATGCATAAATTGATGATGTATGCTGGATAATGATAATGATAGTAATAATAATGATAATAATAATAATAATAATAATACTGCTACTACACCATAGGGAAAGTGCTTTGCATTGCACGGAAGGAGGGAAAGGACCGTATTGGATGTAGAGAATATTCACGGATAATGTAAATAGTGAGTTAACAATCAAAAGAAAGAATGGATTTTTCCACATGCAATGCGGATCTTGCGGATATAAAAAGGATTTGATTGATTTTTGATTGATTTTGATTAATTGGGTATCCCGAGGTTTCTTTTTTGGGCTTTCTTTGGCTGCTTTGAGAAACTGGGATGGATTTGAAATAGGAAATAAATGGGTCCATTGAGAAGTTGGAAGGAAAAAGAAGTTTGGAAGTTTTAATCTACTACTTCTACTTCTGTCCTCTCTCCGTATGTACTATACCTATACTGCCTATGTGCTTCCCCCTTGGTTGGGGTTGGGGTTGGGGTTGCGTTCCTCTGCCAATATCCAGTTGCAGCTCATCCATTCAGCTCATCCATTCAGCTCATCCATTCATTGATGTGATAAATTGAATAATGTAGCAAGTAATGATCGACATCGATTCTTTCTCAAAGAGTAAAAGCTTGACCTCTAAAAGAAGTGGGACGAGATAGAAATTATTTACAGAGTAAGAAAAACCACCCAACATCATTTCATTGCCAAGCGACCTTGAATCATTCGATAACAGTCCGCCGCCGAGCGGATCATCAAGTCATGAACAGGGATAAAGTTCCATATTCGCTCGTGTGGCCGGGTTGAGCGAACGCCGCCACGGATTTATACCGGTATCTTGAGACAGAGGCCTTTTTTCAATGATAGGGAGGGGGGTGATCAGGGACCGACCATTTTCCAAGGTTAACGTCGTTGTTTGGGGTATTATGTAGATATTTACATATTTATATATTTGTGTAAAATTTACATTTGCAAGAAGTGTACCGGGTCCATATCCACTACTACTTTTCCTTGTTGCTCGTCCATTGCTTGTAAGTTGTCAGTAGCAGTAGGTAGTCTCGAACATCCCTGAACTCACAAGGCTGTAAGGATCCGAGGAGATATGATATCAGTGGCCTTTTCTCAAGCCTTGGCAAAGCGGAAGCTAGACCAGGGAGTTAGTCGAGTGAATGACTCAAATTATTCATTAGTGATCCTCGTACTTATTCATAACTTGTGGAGGGTGTAGACTCGTACGTACTCAGAAAAGAGGTACGAAGTACGTAGGCGACTCATAAGCCACCGACCAAAAGATTGGTATGAAATGAAAGAAAGAAAGACCAATCTAGTACCTACCTCCTCCTATCTAGACTCTACGTATCATCAAGATCATATGATCCTACATAGTAGTACCATACAGATGATACCACATACCTTGTGAGATTTATCATATTATTTCTCGTATTTATGCTCAAGCCTTGAGGATATTGTTACCATTTCGCATTTCGTATTTTATGCCGTTCATCGCATCCGTATACCGGTAGTCTGTCTTTGAGGTTAGATGCTGTATGTGGTACATATGTACTATGTTTTATGGTAAACCAGCTTATCCATGCTAACCACGCCGTACGTACTCTGTGCTTTCAGATGATATACATCAAGGGGGTGATTATGATCATTTCACTCTTTGCCCAAGATAAAAATCCCTAATCGACCAGAAAATAATGCAACTTTCACTCGTCAACAACATAAATTATCCATCAACCTCGCAATCCTGCCGAATCGACCGACACTTAAACTTAAACTTATCACACCCTTATCCCCCACGGAAACAAGCCACAAATTACCAATCTATCATGAGCCCTGACAACCTGATGTCCCACGAATTTTAGTTTCTTAGTGCACGTACTTATGGTACTCCGTATACAGAAAATCGAAAGAGGGGCAAAAAATGGCAGAGGGAAAATTAAAAAAAAATTATAGTTGGAAGGAGGGGCATTTTTGACTTGCCTTATAGCGTCATACCTTGCTTGACCTGACGTAGGGCAAATATCCTTTTCCATCAACTTTACATCCCCAGAACCACACAAATATCATCGATCATTGGCTTCAAATTTTATATCCATGATCTGATACATAAGATTCATGGATTTTTTTTCTATCAGAGTGAGAAGAGGCGCAAGTGTAAATTTTTCATCTTCCATATTCCATATATGATTCGTTGGTCGGAAAACATGTTCACCATCATTCTCATTAATTGGTCTCCTGCATTTTCCTAATACCCTACTACCCACGCTTTACGTATTAGGACGGGTAGCAAGTAATATAGTTATTTTTACTACTTTTTACTACTTTTTGCTACCTTTGACTACTTTTCACTTCAAAACCTTCAAAGCATTTTCTCTCCTCTTTTTCAATCCAGCCAGCATTCATTTCTTTCTGATCCAATCCAATCGAATTGAAAATTCGTAAAATCTTAAATCGTACCTGACGTACCTGCCTTTGATTATTCTGAAAACGAATAACAAAGGAAATCCCTGACAACTTTGTAAAGCTTTACTTGGGATATAGATTGCTTCTTACTTGTCTGGTGGGTGCTTGGATACTTTTAAAATCATTTACAGCTTTCAATTGATAGATTCGATAAAGATATAATCATCAAGATGGCTTCAATGAAACCCATCTTTTGTGCTACCCACCCAAGAGCATGCTCTACCGCATTCGAAAGAGTAAGCACCATTCCATTACATTCAGTGGTTCTTTTCCGTGAAATAACTAACCTATTTGTAGGTCTTCATGACTCGCGATGATGTTCTCGCCTGTGTTCACGAACCCTTCGGAGATGCATTCTACTTCGGTCCCGAGAGACTCAGCCCGAGATATGAGAATGACGAGTCCGCTCGTCAGGAGAGTGGTTTCGCAGATAGTACATATAAGAAAGTCTTTGAGAGAATTGAGAAAGAAGGGAAAGAGGTTAGAATTAGATTTACTTTCACCATTTTTCCTTTGAATAGATTTAGTTCTGCTGTTTTGCGGGAACCCTCGAGATTGGATTGGGTCATGAGACGAGTGTCTGATTTTGAGGACTCTGCCTCTGCTGTTTGATCCCAAGACCTTTTTCACCAACATCACCAAGGTTGTAGACCTACCATGGTTCAAGTTCTTTTGTTATTGCGATCCATTTTCATGAATGATATACCATTCATGCAACTAAATCTCAATTTCTACATACATACGCATTTATGCATGTATCATTAGCTTATAAAAAATAGGGAAAGCGTCTGTTCATCAAAGATATCATTCACTATCTCGTACCTCCTCAAGGTAAACCAGCAACAATTGCGCCATCACTCGTTGGTAAAAGTGTAAAGAAAGGAGTAGGAACCAATGGCGAAACAAATGGGACAAACGGAGTATCAAATGGTGAAACCAACGGTCACCACACCAATGGTCACACAAATGGTCACACCAACGGTCAAACTAACGGCTTTACAAACGGAACCAGCAAGAAAGCTCCCTATCCCTACGACACTGCCGCCGAACCCGGAAACCCTACCGTCGTCCCCGCCGAAATCCTCAAACAATTCCACTTCACCTTCCTAATCCGTCATCCCCGCTCCAGCATCCCCTCTTACTTCCGCTGCACCATCCCTCCTCTCGACAAAGTAACCGGTTTCTACGATTTCATGCCCCAAGAAGCAGGCTACGATGAACTCCGCCGCGTTTTCGATTTCCTCCGCTCCAAAAATCAAGTCGGTCCCTCGCTAGCCCAGACCCCTGATTCCGCCTCGAAAAATTTAAAGGATGGAGAAGTTAGTATTACAGTTATTGACGCAGATGATTTATTGGATAATCCAGAGGGAATTATTAAGGCGTATTGTAAAGAGGTGGGGATGGAATATGATCCTAATATGTTGATTTGGGATACCGAGGAACATCATCGTAAAGCTAGGGAAGCTTTTGAGAAGTGGAGGGGCTTTCATGATGATGCGATTAGTAGTACGAGTTTGAAAGCTAGGAGTGTGGAACATGTGAGTTTTTTTTTTTTTTTTTTGGATTTTCTTCATTTCCTATTATCACTCTTCCTTAATGCACATACATATTCACTCCTCCGTGTTAAGATTACTTAACTGCAAGGTATAGGATGAAAAGGAAGGAATATCAATATCCATCATACCCTAACATACCCTCCCCCAACATAAAACAACCAAAAAAAACTAACACACCAAAAACAGAAAAAGAAACCCAAAACTCCAGCTCAAGAAAATGAAGAATGGACCCAGAAATATGGTCTTGAGGCAGCGGAAATCATTAGACGTACTGTTGATGCTAATGTAGAGGATTATGAGTATTTGAAAAGTTTCGCTGTTAGGGTTTAGGTTAGGATAAGGATTGGGTTTGGGTTTGGGTTTTAGGGTCTTGGTGGAAGGGGAAGGGGTGTGTTGATTTAGGGGTTTGGGGGAAAGGGGGGAAGAGAGGAGAGGAGAAGAGGAGAAGAGAGAAGAGAGGGTGTGATGTATGATGGGATTTATAGAGGAGGTGCTGTGATTTTCCTCGAGGTTGGCGAATAGGATAGAAGATTTTTATGTCTTGAAGGATGGGGTGGTTTAGGTGGGATGGGACAGTTGATATTATGGTAAATCATGAATATTTCATTTCATGATGGATGTAGTTGATAGGATATTTCTCCATCTCATCTCATCTTATCTCTCTCTGTCCCTATCTCTCTCTGCCCATCTTCCTTTCCCTCTCTCTTTTCTCCCCTCTTCTCTTTATAAACATATACACATACACCTTTTATTAATACAAGAGTCTCCAAATCCAAAATCCTCACTCAATAACCCCCCCCCCCAAAAAGGATTCTATTTAATTTTTAATTTTTAACTTTTAGCTTTTATCTTTTATCTTTCAACTTTTAATTTTCTTTAAAGGGGTTATTTATGTGATTTTGTATGTTATATTGTTATATATAAATAAGATCTTTCAATATCTCAATATTCAATACCTAGGTAACTATATGATATGGTGATATGGTGATATAGATGTAAATACAAGTACCTAGGTACCTACCTAGTTACTTATTACTTGTTACTAGTTACTTACTACTTATTACAGAGAGAGGAAGACTCAAATTTATACTGAAACTTAAACTTGTATTCTATGAATATATATATATATATTCTAGGGTTTATTATTAGTTAATGTCATATAGCGTAGCGTGTATACATATCATATGGAGTTAGTTGGATGTTTAAATCTTGAATTCTTGGGTTGTAAGTGAACATAATACGTGATGTGATGTGATATGATATGATGCGATGCAATATGATGGATGGTATGTAATGTGAAATGCGTGTGATGTTTGTGATTTTACAATATATCTACATCTTCATCTACATCTACACCCAATCCTCCAAAGTGAAGTTTCCCTTTTAAATAATCTTAGTAGCGGGAACTTCCTTTGGCTCCTCTCCTAAACCCAATGGTTCAGCTCCAGGTTCAGATTCAAGCTTTAATTCCTGTGTCTTGATCGCATCCACTGTCTCAGCTTCAAGAGATTTTTTATATCCCGCTTCTGATCCACCCGTTCGTTCCATCCATGCTAATTTTTCCAGTTGTGCTTGTCTTGCCTGCTGCCAGTTTTCTTGTGGAGATTGTCTAATCCTTGTTGGTAGAACTTTTGGACCCTTTCCCATTGCGCGATGACTTTCCATCAGCGCTAGATGTTTTGCCCATCTCTCTTCTCTTAATCTCATATTTTGTTCAAGTAGCTCTCTGTTCTTCCTCTTCTTTTCTTCATTTGCTTCTTTTTTAGCTTGGCGCGCAGCTTTCCATTCGGCTTGTTCTTCGGTGCTGAGGGCTTGTTTCTTGCGGATTTCCCGATTATTGCGATCCCACGGTAATGTATCGTGAAGAACAGCTTCGCCCCATACGTCGGATCCTTCACCTGCGTAACTTGCGTCTGCGAGATCGCTCCATTTTACTTCCACAATGCCCTCTTTGCCTATTCCTTCTAAACCTATTCTCTCACTTCCATATCTAATTTCTTTTAAAACAGCGGCCATATCAGCGACAGTATTAGCTTTTTGATCATTAATCTTGCGAGAACGAAGTTTAGACGCCAAATGAGTTTTGGATTTTTGATGGTCTGTTTCGTTGGGTCCGGGGATGCGCTTGAAGAGCGGGGAAGTAGGGTCCCAGGATAATTCGTGTCGTTTGCGAAATTCGCGAAGTTTTTGGAAGGCGCTGAGGCCAGAGGAGGAGGTCCCTGGCGGAAACGTTATTAGGGCCATGGGATGCCAGTGGTCTTTGCGGAGGGCGGCGGGGCGGGTTTTTTTGCCATTGTATGGGAGTTGGGCGAGAGATGCATTGTTCTGGGGTTGTTAGTGAGTATTAAAGAGTATATGAGAGGGATTGAGTATGTGGGAAGTGGAAAGTATATGTAGAAGGGCAAGACATACATTCATTCCTTTAGTAAGTGAGTAAACAACCTGATTCGTCTGTAAATGATTGTAAACATATATTTGCTCTCCATGTTCTGGACGATTCGGTGGCTGTCTCGCAGTCACCGAGGTCGTTGATGCATATCGCACACCGGCTGTCTTGGTGACAGAATTGCCGATACAATTCCGTAGTGATGAGACACTCATGGCTGTAAAGAATGCGAATTTAGAGCTTCAAATACAGCGATGGTAATATTTCGACATCTTGAAAACCAAAATTGTCCTAGCGTCTTCTGCTCCATGTGCAAACTGTTGCCTGAAACAGATTACGTAATGTTGGGCATTTAAGTCAGGCTCTCTTCTTGATGCCCAGGGCGGGAATAACCAAGCGGCTGCAAGCGAGCCAACTTTTTGGTGTGTGGAGTCACAACGTGTGTTGACGTTTCTAGAACCTACGAGCTGATCCTAGAAGCTCATAGGACGATACCAGTAATTTCTAGGCATATCAAGAATTTAGGTCATCATATGGGTCTGAAGTAGGAGGAAATATATAAACTTCGAGTTTCTTTGTTCACCGAGTTTTGCTTTCTAGTCATCAATACAAAATCATATTCAATTCGAATCCCTTTATTCACCTGCATATAATTGAAGCTCGGAACTATACCCCGCAGCATAATTGTAAACAACATTAGAGAACTTTACTTACCTTTGAAACCATAACAACAACAACAACAAAAACACTCACATACGACTGAAAAAATACCGCAAACATGTCTACCTCTGACATGTCCTTTACGACTCGGGCGACGAAGTCCATAGAAGATGCCATGTTCAACGCAGAACAACATGGCTCTTCTCAACTTCTACCCCTCCATCTCGCCCTCGCCCTCCTAGACCCATTACCCGATCTTTCGAAAGACCAACAACAGACTATGAACGCCTCTCATGGATCTGCCTCGCAGTCACTATTCCGTCAAGTAGTAGAGCGAGCCCATGGAGATCCGCAGGCTCTTGACCGTTCACTCAAGCGCGCGGTTGTTCGTCTACCAAGTCAAGATCCTCCGCCTGAAAACGTTGCCGTTTCGCCTTCTTTTAACAAAGTTTTAAGAGCGGCGAAGGAGTTGCAGAAGACGCAGAAGGATTCGTTTATCGCGGTGGATCATTTGATTATTGCCGTTACTCAAGATCCTGCTGTTCAAACATGTTTGAAGGAGTCTAATATACCAAATATCAAGCTTCTGCAAGATGCTGTTTCGCAGATTCGGGGAACGCGGAGAGTGGATTCTAAGACGGCGGATGCGGAGGAGGAGAATGAAAATTTGAAGAAGTTTACCGTGGATATGACGGCGATGGCCAGAGAGGGAAAGATTGATCCCGTTATTGGCAGAGAAGAGGAGATTCGACGGGTCGTTAGAATTTTGTCGAGACGAACGAAGAATAACCCAGTGTTGATTGGTGAACCGGGTGTGGGAAAGACGACCGTAGTGGAGGGTTTGGCACAGCGAATTGTTAATGCTGATGTTCCGGATAATCTCGCCGCTTGCAAACTTCTCTCGCTGGATGTCGGATCAATTATCGCCGGAAGTAAATACAGAGGAGAGTTTGAGGAGAGAATGAAGGGTGTTTTGAAGGAGATTGAAGACTCAAAGGAAATGATTGTTCTATTCGTCGATGAAATGCATCTTCTCATGGGCGCTGGCGCCAGTGGTGAAGGTGGAATGGATGCTGCCAACATGCTTAAACCTATGTTGGCTCGTGGACAACTCCACTGTATTGGTGCTACCACTCTCAACGAATACCGAAAATACATTGAGAAGGATGCAGCATTCGAACGTCGTTTCCAACAAGTTTTGGTTAAAGAACCATCTATCCCCGATACCATCTCTATTCTTCGTGGATTGAAGGAGAAATACGAAGTTCATCACGGAGTTACCATTGCAGATGCAGCTCTTGTTTCTGCGGCTACTTTGGCCGCTAGATATCTTACACAAAGACGACTTCCGGATTCTGCTGTTGATCTTATTGATGAAGCAGCAGCAGCAGTTCGAGTTGCTCGAGAATCACAGCCTGAAATTATCGACTCCCTCGATCGTAGACATCGACAACTCGAGATTGAAATTCATGCCTTGTCTCGAGAAAAGGATGAAGCTTCAAAAGCTCGCTTAGCTCAAGCTAGACAAGATGCTCAAAACGTTGAGGAAGAACTTAGACCTTTACGTGAGAAGTATGAGAGTGAAAGAAAGAGAGGCAAGGACATTCAAGAAGCTAAACTCAAGCTTGATCAATTGAAGGTCAAAATGGAAGAGGCTACTCGTTTGGGTGATACTAGCAAGGCTGCTGATCTTCAATATTACGCAATTCCGGAACAGGTCGCATTTATCAGGACCTTGGAGAAAGAGAAGAAAGCTGCTGATGCGGCCCTTAGCTCGAATTCTAATCCTGATTCTGGTGGATCTCTTATCACTGATACTGTTGGTCCAGATCAAATCAACGAGATTGTTGCTCGATGGACAGGTATCCCGGTCACTAGACTTAAGGCGACTGAGAAAGATAAACTTTTGAAAATGGAAAGCGCTCTAGGAAAAATAGTTGTTGGTCAATCTGAAGCTGTTAAGGCTGTCTCGAATGCTATTCGACTTCAAAGAGCAGGACTTTCCAATCCAAACTCGCCACCAAGTTTCCTGTTCTGTGGTCCATCGGGTACTGGTAAGACACTTCTTACCAAAGCTCTTGCCGATTTCCTCTTCGATGACGAGAAGGCTATGATCAGACTGGATATGTCCGAATATCAAGAACGTCATGCACTTAGTCGCATGATTGGTGCACCACCTGGATATGTTGGTCATGATGCCGGTGGACAACTTACTGAAGCCCTTCGTCGTAAACCTTTCTCTATTCTTCTCTTTGATGAAATTGAAAAAGCAGCAAAGGAAATCCTTACAGTTCTCCTTCAACTCATGGATGATGGTCGTATTACTGATGGCCAAGGACGTGTTATTGATGCCAGAAATTGTATCGTGGTTATGACGTCCAATTTGGGTGCTGAATATCTCGATCGTCCTAATGCTGCCAATGGAAAGATTGATCCAACTACTCGCATGATGGTCGAACAAGCTCTTAAGGATTATTTCTTGCCTGAGTTTCTCAATCGTATCAATGCAACTATTATCTTCAATCGTCTCACCAGAGCTCAAATCCGAAAGATTGTCGACGTACGACTTGGGGAGATTCAAAAGAGACTAGCGAACAACGGACGAAATATTCGCATTGACTGTTCTCCTGCAGTTCTCGATTATCTCGGCTCAGCAGGTTATAGTCCTGTATATGGTGCTAGACCACTTGCCCGATTGATAGAAAAGGAAGTGTTGAATAGAATGGCAGTACTATTATTGAGGGGTGCAATTAAAGATGGTGAGACTGCGAGGGTGGTCATGAGAGACGGAAGAATTGTGGTGGAACCTAATCATCAGGGTAGTAGCGAGGAAAACAGTAGTGAGGATGATATGGATATTGATGAGGTGGATGCGAGAGAGGCTTATGGAAGGAGGGGATACAGAGATGAGGACAGGGACAGTGATGGGGATTTGGACTTGTATCAGTAGATGAACTGATTTGATTAGGAGGGGAGAATGAGAGGAAACGCAGATGAATTGTTGAGGTGGTAATTATGATGGATGATTATAATGATTATATGATGGTATGGGCGTTGGGTGTTTCTGATCTTATGATATGATATCGAATGAATGATTGGGTTAGGGTGGAATTGGAATGGGATGCAGGACTTTTCCTTTCCTTTTACATGTAGTGTGGATGTTCGAATGATAGAAAGTTAGGAGATCAAATAAGAGAGGAGAGTGTGTTTAAGTGTTAATAAGCTCTAGCATTAGGGTAGGATCAAAATTGAATTGAATCGAATATTCATACTATGGATAGGAATGATTGTGTCTTGTCTTATCTTGTGATGGGATCTGAGGTGATTTTATGGATTATGATAATTATTGAAAGACGGGTGAGAAGAGAGACTGGATTTGGAACGAAGTAATGAATGATATATCTAGATCACAAGCTCTCTATTGCATACATAAAAGCGATGAGTTGGGATTAGTAGTATTACTAAGATCCTACTTCTTTAATTATAGCTCATACACTTCTTTATACATTCTTACTCTAGATACTAGACAGATAGTCTTTTTGAGCTTTTTCTAGAATTCTTACTCGAGTGTTCGGTTGTATTTGTATGTGGTTAAGCTATGGACTGTGAGAGGAATTACGTTTAAATTTTCACGCTATTAACTGCCCAGGTGATTATTAAGTAACGGATCTTAACTTTCTAGTCTGATATGAAAGGAAGAGATGAGTTGGAAATGGAAAGGAAGTGAAGGGAAGGGAGGTGGTATTGGAAGTTGTTATGATTAAGTGTTTATTTTAATTTATTTTAAATAATTGAAATGAATAATGCTGGATAAAATAAGTATATCCTGATGTGGATTAGATTTCGGATAGGTGTAACGATACTGTACTGGAGGCAGCGGCTGCCTAAGGTTTCGTCTGGTTGGTAGTTGTGGGTTAAGGCTTTATCACTGGTATTCACTTGGAAGTGAATTCGTTACTAGATCAAGTAGAATGTAGGTAAACTAATTGATGACTAAGTTGAGCACGAAGCTCCTATACTATGAAAATAATGAATGTTTATATACTGGTCCTTTCCAGGAGCCTGCAGGAGCCTGGAGGAGCCTACGCTCCTGGGGGCTCCATCACGTGATCCCTACTTGTCCGACGTGATGGTGAATCGTGACAGATATTTACTCGGTTGATTTTTGTTAAAGTATGTAAAAATATAAAAATATCAAAATATCAAAATATCAAAATATAATTAATGTTTTTATTTATTTTCAATCTTGAGTTTAAAAGATGAAAAAATTGATTGTATTTATGTGTTACGACCAATCCTAACAGCTACTCAAGTGCCTAAGCTTATGGTCACATGACCCAATATTGTCCCACCTAGATGTTACGAGGTTTGCCGTCTAGATCACGTGAAAGTGCTCTAGGCTCTCGAGGTGGTTTATAACTCGGCGTCAAGCAGGGACTTAAGGTAATGACAATGATGATATGACAATTCGTAACTAATAGTAGAGTATACTAAATGATTGATCTTGAGC